AATAAGCCACCCTCAGCTGAGTTACGACTTCAGCTATTCCATCGTGACAACAAAAATGTTCTTCCACAATGTCGAATAACCTTTGCTCCTTTAAATTCATAATACTCTCTAACTGTTGTCTAGCACTAAGTAGGAGGGTGCCATTTAATGCAACCAAGCAGACATCACTGTTGAACTATAAAAAAGTAAATTTGAATGAGGACTCCAAAACACGAAATAATAATCTTAGCTATAATATTCTCAGCAAATATCATATGTTCAAAAAAAATCAGACCTAAGTTTAGGATGAGCTAGATATAGTGAAAAAATGAATTAAAAAATTCGCTTTCCTAAGCAGTAAGCAGTGATTCAAATCTCTGTTAAAATAAAGGGAACGAGAGAGCAGAAATGAAGGCAAATACCTGGAGAAAACGCAATAACATTTCAGTATCTGCGTCCATTTCAATGAAAACACGTTTCCCACACCAAGATTCGGAATTAAAATCTCCCAGTGATTTACGAGAAAAAATCAATAAATATCCAGTCCTGCAAGCATCACCAATGTATAAATGTGATAAGGAAGAAATCAACAGTAAAATAAAACAAGAAAAAGTAAAGACACTTTGTTATTTCCTTAATAACGCTCACAAAAAAACTAGCCTAGAAAACTAAAGTGCCATAATTAACAGGAACGTAATCCCATTAATACTCTGTAAAATTAACCAAAAAAGGAAATAAATACTGCTGAAGTTTTACGCTGCAATATAACATAGAAATGCACAAATACCATGCTAAGAAAGTCTTTTTGCTAGAAACAAAAATAGCGTACGAATTATGACAAAAAAATTTTTGAAAGAGACTACTTTTCTTCCATTTATCCAACCCCTTCAATTTTTCTTCTCTCACTCTTGTTTTGAACCAAGCAAATTTTGCTTTGATAAAAGAGTAAAAAGCAAACGGTAAACAGATTCATAAATCCACTTTTTAACCTGCCGATAACAAAGGAATATGAGCGCTATAGGATCAATGAGATTAAAATATTAATCAGTTACCGCTTAGAGATATTGCTAGGAAGGTCGTCTTCATATCTCGCACATGTAATATCTAATAGCACACGAATATAATCTACATTTTCAGCAGCAGCGTTTTCATCACAGAAGACAATGTAGCTCTCAAGTTCATGTGGAAGAACAACCTAAAAACTGGGACCTCATCAGATTATACAGGTCTGCTAAAAATTTATAAACTGCAAAAAAAAAATACATATTTCCTTCGATAACAACTACAGAAAACAGTGCAGGAAAAATATCTCGACCGCCAACAGTTAATGCATTGCTTCCGTAGAACAATAGTGGTGAAAACACTACACGATTTTCATTTTGATAGCAAGTTCACAGTTAACAATTTGATAATTTAGAGGACTCAAGATGTTTCAATAAAGTTTAAGATATCACCACAACAGCAAAAATTAAATTAAATACAAAAAACAGCTAACCAGTGTGTATGCTTTCAAATAAATTTGATATAGTAGTTCTTTACTCTCGGATCTGACATTGTATAAAGCACATTTCTCTAGATCAAATATCATGGAACGGGCAAAAGATAATGCGCGCAAAGCGCGATTCTTCAGCTCTTTGACAAGTGCACGAAAATGGCGACAAGCGACATGAATTTGTGAAGGAACCCTAAAACAGTCCATTAAACTTACGTTCTTGAAAGCGTTTACTACTTGCTTTAAAAACGGTCAACAATTATTGTTTCCTATGTAAAGATTAAAATGTCATGATCTTCCGCTAAAAAAAAAATAGAAAAACGAAGACTGGAAAATAAAAATCATGCCGTCTTCCACTGCCAACGTCAAAATCACTCCTTTGCTCTTCTAATATATCACTCGCATCCAAAAAATAATTTTTGACCATCCTTTGAAACAAGTCTTTGCCGATAAAACTGAAAAAAAATTTCACTAGATTTGGCAGCCTTCGGATAAAGATGCCCTAAAAATAAAGAAAAAATGAGATTAAAGAAGATGAACAAAAATTACCAGAATCTTTGGGCGACTTCATCTTCACCACAAATAACATTCACAGCAAAACATCTTGCAAGCTGCCATTCCTTCATAAGCTCATTTAAAAACCTATCTCCCCAGTCAACACAGGCACTGGTCGACAACTCGGCTGAGGCCCAATGACGCACACAAGTTAGGTATTTCTAAAGCAAAAATTTTACACCAGAAATCACAGCGACCAACAAACAAATTTCTACAACTGAGCAGAATTAGCATATAATAACCTTGAAAAGATCAGAAAGATGGTTCTCAAAATCAGCTAAATTTTCTAGCAGGCTAGAGGTTTCAACTTCAACCATCTGAACCACAGCCACATATGTATGTTTCACCGTTATTGCAGCACGTAAGCAGTCATGACAGTCTTCTAACACCTATTAAACGAAATATTTGACTAAATGACACTACTTCAGATCAGCAAAAATTGTCAAAAGACAACTGTACCGCCCGGAGAGTTAGCAAGTCATTATTCATTTGCATAACCCCTCTCATTTTCAACCATTCGTCTACTAAATCAAGTGGTACTCGCACTAAGCAGTGAAATAAGTCCAAAAAGGAAGGAAGGCCCATAGCAACAAATTCTTCATGATATACTGTATACTTTTCATCCTGCTTTTCTCTCTAAAATCGAGCATTACGCTGTTAAAAAATTAAGTAAAATTACTGACGTGTTACAGCAAGCAAGTCAAAATTTGAAAAGCCTTCTGGCGTTGTCATAAGCAATGAAAAAACAATGAAAAAACTTATTCAAAATGCCTCCTACTACTTACTCTCTTTAACTTGGCCACTAATTCCAGTATCTTACTCGTGAAGCAATCAGAAGTGATTGGCTGAAACATATAAAGTGCACAAAAGACAAAAGCACATGAATTTAAATAGAAAGTAATCACTAGAGGCAACTTAACTAACCAGATATCTTTTCGATACAAAATCTGCAGTTTTTGCAGCCTCTGCATAGGACCCAGGTGGTTTTTGAAGAAGAATTATTGCTTTACTGATTGCTACAGCACAAACGTTCTCTAGACGTTCCAGAACTTTACGCATGCCCTTCAGTTTCAAGCTCTTTGCTGAAAAAAGTGAGTCCTAT